GACAGCATTTAAGAGAGCGCGGGTTCAGAGAAAAATCTGAGCGACAGATCTGCACAGACGACTTGATCAGACGGCCGATGCTGCGAGGTTGGGAGCTCATGTAGTCGGGAATCATGGTGATCCAGGTGGGAAAACTGACGCGGCCACTCCGGGAGATCCGTTATGCTTATGTCGTAATAGGCTTCACGTATAGATAGGTAAATAAATAAATAAACTAAATGATCACATTTGATACTAAAAATGAATCAAAACTTCATGAAGTTAAATTGAATGCTCTTGTTTGGGTTCTTTCTGGGGTCTTCTATGGTTGGAAGAACTTCTGCTATGAAGCCTTTCAGGGGTCATCGTTTAATATCATAAGAGTGTCCATTGCCCCCCGAGCGACCCCCCCTATTTGTGCCACTGCTGGAAACAGCTGTGTCTCCGCAGCTACAGTAAGTTCAGAGTTGTTGTCAGAAGTTTGAAGGAGCTGAGAGAATGAAGACGGTGACGTTCGGCAGGTCGTCCCGGTCCCGGGGGAGGCGGCAATGCCAGACGGAGATGAAGGGATGAAGGAGGAGAGAGATGAAAGGGAACGAGGGTGGAGATGAAGAGGTGCGGAGGTCGTCCGGGGGGTGATCAGTGAGGTGGATGCAACGCCATCTGACAGGTCCAGCTGGGAGACCGCCCGCCCCCCAGCACTGCAAACTGGTCAATATGGAGGCCAATTACTGCTGCCCATGTGACCGCAGCATCATCCAACCCTATCATAACGTACGTGCACACACACGCGCGCGCGCTCACGTGCCATCTGTGCGAACCAGCAACGAACACAACACCCCCGTTTTGATCACCGCTCCTGTTTAACCTCCCGAGCAGGGTCGGCCACACCCGAGTCTTCCGAACCGCAGCTGCGTGCGGTTTTCACGAGAGGGTTCCGGAGGAGAAGAATCATCCTGCTGGACGACACCTGGCACACCTGCCAAGGGCCTACCTGAATCACCCGGATGTTTATCTTCACCCCTTACTCCTCCTCTTCTCCCTCCCCTCCTCTCCCCTCTCAGAACCGCCAGCTCGGTCTGGATCCTCCACCGAGCCCTGGCTGTGTGATGACAAACAGATGTTGTGGAATTTCCTGTGAGCGGACTGCCAGAGACAGACCCGCATGGGAAGAGGGGGGAATAACGGGGAGGGAATGTCACCAAGTCCCGCAAAGAGGTTGGCCGAAAAGTGCGCGTTTACTCCAGAATGGGGTTCCGATCATAAACAAACATAAACACAACTGACGCACGTTTAGTTTGATGTTAAAAAGGAATCTCAAATAAAAGTATGGTGCAGAGGTCCTCTATTACAAGCTCGCTGTTTTTAAACCAATTGAATTTATTTGCAGGGAGAACCTGATATCAGCTAAATGAAGGGTGGGTAACCATGCGTCACACTTCCGGTTGTCCAGAGGGTTGTGGGATCGATTCCGGCAGAGAATGCTGCTGTTGTCTACTTGGACAAGACATCCTCTTCACCTGGCGGCGCCGGTGCTCAGCAGCCTCGTCTCTGTAGCTTATCACCAGGGAGTGAATTTGTGTGTGTGTGTGTGTGTGTGTGTGTGTGTGTGTGTGTGTGTGTGTGTGTGTGTGTGTGTGTGTGTGTGTGTGTGTGTGTGTGTGTGTGTGTGTGTGTGTGTGTGTGTGTGTGTGTGGATGACTGACTGTGTTGTAAAGCGCCTTGGGGGGTTCTAAGACTCATGAAGGCGCTGAATCAAACACTGTGATTGGCTACTTAACAATTAACAGTTTCATAGAGCGAAGCTCAACCTTCAGTTCATCATATTATTCTAACTGTTTACATGTAGATGAACATTTTTCAGCAGGGTTGAAGCTTTATACACGTTTAGTTTCATGAAGATTCCTCCTGATGCTTGGTGCCACGAACCTAACTTTGCTGGATGAGGTGTTGTGCTACAATCGGTGCCCTCAGGTGCAACTTTTACAAGTTACATGTTCATTGTTTTGTTTGACACATTGCTAACCCTCCCCACCAGATTATCTTATTCTGTAATTATTTGAACCAGATTTTTGCTGAAACGTTCCTTTTATTATTATTTTAGCTCGACGTTAATTGGATTTCACACCAGAGTACTTGTGACTTTTTGATAATCGCACTATTGACTGTCATGTCGGACAAACGCTCCTGATTTCTTTCTTTCTTTCACCGAGATGAGTGAAAATGAGTGGGCATGAACATGATAATTTAAACAGCGAGATTCATTCACTCACTTTTCATCCCGAGTAGAGCTGCGTGTCACTGCAAGTTTTATTATCAGTGTTATTCGTTCTAATCCGACTCGACACGTGCACTTTCACTTTTGAAAATCAGAACATTAAAAACAAATAAAATATAAATTCTTGTATTTAAGGATTAAAAAAATAACTTTAAAAATACAACCCATCATCTCCACGGCTAGAATCCGATATGCCTGCTTCTTTTTTTAAGGATGAAGTCGTCCCACTTCTAAATGAAACCAACTCGTCCCTGTTGTAACATCCGGAACTCTGAAAGGTGTCGTCTTGTCCAACAAAAGGGACAGACGTTTCAACTCTTCCTGTTTTGTTGTGATTTGGCTGCAGCTCGAGTCTCTGCGCCATCGGAGGTTAAAACGCGCACGGCTGAAGTCCAGACATGCAACACGCTTCTCTCCGCGCCTCGTTTCAGAGCAAAATGCAAATTCATGGACCAAATCTTTACAATAGTAACAATAAAAACGCCTCAGTGCCACGTGCGCGCGTGGCTGTGGCTGTCTGTCTACTGTCATTGCGTCGTGTGTGTGTGTGTGTGTGTGTGTGTGTGTGTGTGTGTGTGTGTGTGTGTGTGTGTGTGTGTGTGTTACTCAGGATAGGTTCGTTTTCTTTATTATTATTATTTTGTGTTTAAAGCGTGCTGGATAATGAACAGGTGCTGCAGGAGCGAAGCCCCGACTCCTCCCAGCAGCCACTTTAGCCGCCGAACTGCGGCGCGCTCCGGGTTGTCCTCCCCGGAGCTCCCAGTGCTGCTGCTGGGGAACATTAAGGAACTTGGCACGACTCTTCTCCGACAGCCTGCCAACCTCTCTCTTCCTCCTCACTCTCACCGGACAGCGGAGGAAGAGGAGGTGGCGCTGGCTGTAATGGGGGAGGCTCGGGGAGGATTTTGATAGATGCCCTCTTCCCGGTGCTGGCTGGCTTCACTTTTGGACTCATGCCTCTTTCCTTTTTTAATTTTAAAATGGTTTTGTTTTATTGATGAGGGCAAATGCATTTATGAGGGCCTAAACAACGTCATGAAAACACCGAATGGACTTGAAGGCTTCCTCAGGCTTGATTGCCTTCAGGGAGACTCACAGGTGTTTATCTGCCAAGTGTTACGGATTCTACAATCAAACATTAACCTGCTCGACTGGGATTTATTAAACGTATTTATTCTGCAAAATAGGATAAAAATATTAAAAAGTCAACAATACATGAAAATAAAAGCATCTAGATACACTAAATGGCGGAAGACCTGCCACGAATTTCTGCTTAAAATAGCAATTGTTGCGTTTAAGGTGATAAAATTAATCCAGTATGGCTTCAAAACGTGTTATTTAGCTTTATTCAACGATTGTAGCATAGCGTTGCGTGGTTTTTAATTTATTTTGTTAAGTTTTGTTAAAAAGGTTTTCTGATTAAATTTTCTTTATCAATTGTTATTTCGTTCGTTTTTAATTCATAAGTTACATGTAAAATTTTCACCATGCGTAGAAAGCTAATTTTTGTATTATTCTTAAATATTTATTTAATAAAATAGGTTTAAATTAACAATAATTTCCCGTAATTTCGTTTTGGGGTCATGTAAAGAGTAAAGCGGAGGGTCTTTAGATTCAGATAAATTATAGTACGATAATGATCTGACTTATTTAAGAAAGACATATTGTGTAATCTACATTTCTATAAACATTTAAGGCGTTAAAATATTTTTTATAATGTCACGAAGTCAAACGATTGGACTTGGGACTCATTTTAAACCAAACGTCTCAGTGTGTGTCCTTATGGGACGTTTAAGGGGACCATATGGGTTCTGGGGCAGCGCTCCAAACCCAGCTTTAGGAAGTGTGTGGAAGGCAAAGCGTCACTCACACAAAGCTCCATGTCTAAATGAAATAAAAATAATTAAATGTGCGCGTGCGTGCGTGTGTACTCTGAACTGATTACTGTACTATTGTGTGTGTGTGTACATTATATATATATATATATATATATATATCGTCATAGGACGATCTCTGCAGGAGCTATCCTTGGTGCTGAAACATCCTTCGCTAATACAAACAAACGGAATCACACCTTTATAAGGAACAATGTTCAAACTCAGCTTAGCCCACATTTCCAAACACATCTGTTGAAGTTTTAAGGACAAACCAAATAGTTTTAAAGGCCATTTATGTATCCAAGCAGGTGACCAAGATGACGCAATGACACATCTTCGTGGCTTTTCTCCCACCTGTCCCACGGATTCCCCCAAAGGCCCTCCAGGCTCTGTGGAGTTCAGGCAGCTTGTGGCAGCAGGCCGCAGGCTGCTGATCGAACTCTCCTCTCATTATCATAAAAAAACATCAAGTTGCACATTGTGCTTTATTGTTATTTTATTTTACCACACAGCTGGTCGAATACAAAGTTGAAAGACTTGAATTGTATTAAACAAACAAACAACAACAACTAAAAAACAAACAAACAACAATAAAACAGGAATCCCTTCAAATAACATTAATTACAAAAATAAAAAGCACAATAAAACACGTGCAATAATAATAATAATAATAATAATAATAATAATAATAATAATAATTTTCAAAATAAATTAACTAATAAATTAAATTACAAATAAATTAAAGTACAGAATGGCTCGATTACATAATTTCAGATGAAACAATATGATTAAAATGAGAAACTGTTTCTAGTGTCAGTATCTTACTTTTATTAAAGATTCTGGCCTTTATGGGTGTAACCCCCCCCCCCCCCCCCCCCGTGTGTGTATGTGCAGCAGCAGGGCTGATGGTCAGTCTCTCTCTCTCTCTCTCTCTCTCTCTCTCTCTCTCTCTCTCTCTCTCTCTCTCTCTCTCTCTCTCTCTCTCTCTCCATCTCTGTGCATGTGTGTGTGTGTGTCTGTGTGCGTGCGTGCGTGTGTGTGTGTGTGTGTGTGTGTGTGTGTGTGTGTGTGTGTGTGTGTGTGTGCGCAGCAGTGCTGATGGTCAGTCCCTCTCTGGGTCTCGTTGGGTTTTGCATAGATGCCAAACTTCTAACGGTGTAAATGGATCCAAAGAATCAACGCGACAAACACATTTATTCACGTTTCTGTTTTTTCTGAGTTCAGCTTTTCTTTTTGCATTCGTTTTTGGATCTTTCACTTTAGAATATTGCATCTTCCTGTCAAGGTTCTTCATAAAGAAATCCCCAACAAGGTTTTTGCTCGTTGACGTTCAGTCCTCAAAATGCAAACAACCATCGAGACAAGCACAAGCCACACATGGGAAATATTAACAGTTTTAATGACCTTCTCCTCGTTCCGGTTAGATTTGTTTATTGGGTCCTCAAGAGGTTTATTCAAAAGATGGAAAGCTTTTATTGCGCAAAATGTGGCTCATCCTCACTCGTTCCCTGACCGCAGGAACGGATATAAAATCAAACCGAATGAATAAAAACACTGACGACAACAATGAGGGATAGACTCTCCGGAATTCCCAAATCCTGGAAGGGTTAGGGGTTCCAGAAGTGTGCCGTTGGTAGATTGTTGACAGCAAGTGGACGCACGAAGGGATTTAGCTGTGAAAAAACGCGTTCAGTTCCTCGTACACGGGGGCCCGGTCGTGGTGTAAGTGCATGTCGTGGTAAGGCAGGACGTTTTCCGAGTGAATGCCGCTCCGGTTCCCAGAGCCTAACACCAGGTTGTGGGCCCCTGCGGGTCTGGATCCTGGCAGGCCGGAGTAATGCATAGAGTAGTGGTACCCCTTCTCTGTTTCCGGGGAGGCGGGTCCTTGGTGTTTCAAGGAGAAGTTCCCGTTTATGCACAGGGGCGGACTGAGAGGTCCCTCGTACTCTGGGCTGTTGTATTCTGGAGATCCGCTCCCTCCATACATAGACTCGTACGCAGAGCAGTATCCGTGCGTGCGCAGCGGATGTGAGTTCGAGCCCGGCTGGCAGTGGGGGCTGGACAGGCGCGTGCACTGGTAGGGGTAGGAATGCATGGAGAAGGAGCCGGAGCCGTACCTCCCCCCCTCCTGGCACTGCTGCTCGGTGAGGAAGTTGCGGGAGTTGAGCTGCAGACATCCCGCCACCAGGTTGGTGGTGGGCTGGGACAGTCCCTTACACAGAGTCTGGACGTAGGACACCAGGTCGGGCCTCTTCCCGGAACGCAGGATCTCCGACAGGGCCCAGATATAATTCTTAGCCAGCCGCAGAGTCTCAATTTTGGACAGTTTTTGCGTTTTGGAGTAGCAGGGCACCACTTTACGCAGATTGTCAAGCGCAGAGTTCAGGTCGTGCATACGGGTCCTCTCTCGTGCGTTGGCCTTTATCCGCCGCATCCTGGAGCGCTCGATCCGGGCCTGGGTCATTTTGCGCTTCTTGGGGCCCCTCTTCTTGGGTCTCTCGCCCTCTGTGTCCTCCCCGTCGTCCTCTTCTTCCACATCGTCGTCCTCGTCGTCTTCGCCAGCGTGCTCGGAGTGCGTCCGGCTGCCTCCTCTCAGATCCGAGTCGTCCATGTCCTCCTGCGTGTCCGCGTCCTCATCTTTTATTTTGTTATCCTCTCCATCGCTGTCTTCCGCCCAGGAGGAGTATTTCTGGACCTCTGGAAGCAGCGAAGGGTCACTGAAAAGCCTCGTCAACATTGTGAATCTGCGGGGAGAAAAATCCAAGGTCAGCCCTCAAAAAAAAAGGGAGGAAAACGGAGCCGCTTGACTGGAAAGTCTAACCGCTATATCAAGTTATTTTATTCAATTAGATAAATATAATTTCTGTTTTAATATTTTCATCAAATGACGTAAAAATTGCGGAAAAATAAATAATAATAATAATAATAATAATAATAATAATAATAATAATAATAATAATAATAATAATAATAATAATAATCAAATAAAATCCGCTGAAAGCTTTCCGCCTGTTCCCGGTTAGACGGATACTCAGTTAATTCCCTGCTGCCAGCCCGGTGCCCTGTCGCGCCCTCTCCCAGCGGCAGGGGCCACATTACAGGTCCCATGGGGGCCCCCACTTTCACTACTCCTGACGCCCATGTATTCTTGGCTGGATTCCAACACTGTTCATCCGCGCGGTGCACCTCCTGGGGGTGGGTGGTGGGGGGGGGGGGGGGTGTCCGTGTAAGTAGGAGAACAATGATTTTTTTAACCAACAGTCACTTGTCAAAACATGTGTACATTTTAAAGATCATTTTCATTGTAGGCTATTTGTCGCTTAATTAAAACATAAAACATTAAAACAATAAAAGAAACAATAATAAATTGTAACTAATAATCCGATGCTATATCAGCAGATGTTGTCCCACCAGGAGGACCGGGAAGACTTCCTCATATTCCAGAGCAGCAGCATAAAGACTCAGGTAGGCTGATGGCTGGTTAATTACCTCGGGGTGTGTGCTGGGGGCGAAATTCCGTTTTTACATCTCAGAACCGGGAGGTTTACGCAATTAGACGGAACAAAAACGGTTCAATTAACAGACCGTGCAGCTTACACGAAATGGATTTCACACGTAATTCTGTATGCACGAGCGCGTGATTCCCACGCACTTTTAAATGGTTTAAATGGAATTCACTTGTATAGCTCTGGTTGGAAATGCGTGAAATAAATCACGCTGCGGGCTGTCACGGACAACCGTGGCACGTTTCACTTGCGCACGAGCCTGAACGCGCGACTCTTCGACAAAAATCACCCATAAATCTCCAGCCTGAACTCGAGGACGCGTCCTTGGATGGAGACGTGGAGCGGATCGAAACATCTTCCCCGCAAATTCTCCTCTGGGTATCAGTCTTTTGTTTGTTGGTCCAAGCGCAGAGCAGGAATTTCCAATCAGCGTCCAGATCTATCGTCATGATCTGCTCTCCGTAAGATCCAAAAGGCACCAAATCGGCACTTTAGGTTTGAGTCATCTGGCCATAAAAAATCCGGGTGAGAAGTTGAAGGTCGAGCGTTTGAAGGAACTATGGGGAGCAATTAAACCCAATGGACGGACACCCATGACGCTCGTTAACGCTGCTGGTTTGCTATTTGTCCCCTAAAAAGCTGCTTCGTTAACATAACATGATAACTGCGCCACAGTTTTCTACAAACAGACGATTTAAATCTCCCAAACACGAACGTATAACACAGTCAGGCTGCTAAAAATGGAAATCGGTTAATTTGGTTACCGCAACTGTTCCAACTTACCTTCACGCGCGCTCCTCACAGGTTCGGAGGCACAAAAAGAAAAAAAAAAGAAAGAAAAAATAAAACCTTCACTCTCAAATCATCTTCATAGACGCACGCGCGCTCTCTATCAGGTGCAGGAAGCGCGCTCGACTGTCGTTCGCCGGTGCTGCTGAGTCCGTTCAGTGCCGGGGAGCGAATAACCGGAGCTGGCGTCCTGGCGCGTCTCGTGTTTATGCGTGAGGGAACTTGTGTGTGTGTGTGTGTGTAAGTGCGCGCGCGCGTGTCACCTCGTGAGCTATACCGGGGACGGGGTTACATACCAGCTTAGGCTGTGATGCCAGCGCCCATATGGCTGCACGTCACCGGCAAGAGCCATCACATGAGAGCCCGGTGATTGACATGCGCCCGCATTCGGAGAGGTTTGGCCTCCCGGGGGAGAGAGAGAGAGAGAGAGAGAGAGAGAGAGAGAGAGAGAGAGAGAGAGAGAGAGAGAGAGAGAGAGAGAGAGAGAGAGAGAGAGAGAGAGAGAGGTGGAGGAGGAGGAGGAGGGCTCCGCCATCTGTCACCGCGGTAGCGCTCACACAGCCTGAAAAAGAAGGAAAAACAGAAGAGAGAAAAATAAGATGGAGGAACAACAAAACTCATCACTGTTGACCTCCAGACATGTAGGCCACTTTTTAAATCCAAATCTCTGAGTTCACCTGCCAAACCCAGACTCCATTAGCCAATAAATGAGCGGGAAGCCGCAGACGCCACATTCCACTAAAGGACGCAAATATGAACAACTCCATGTGAAATATGGTTAGTGACAATAACGTTTGACCTCAAATAAAGCAGGCGCTAAAATCACCTAAACATGGCATCAATCATGCTCCTGCTCAAGTTTTCAAAAAATATTAAGAAACAAATGCACCCCCCCCACCCCCCCACCCCCACCCCCGCCATGCAGCTTTCATGTCTGAGTGGGGGAGGGGGGGGGGGGCGCATTAAGTGCATTAAGGCCCTAGCTGCAACAGAAGGCATATTGTTTATTTATTTACCTAACTGGATCAAATTATGCCTCCATGTATTCAGAGGAGCCCAAAATCAGTTCTGATTGGTTCAGAGTCACAGCAGCTGACCCAATTGTCTCTAAACAATCCCACATAATATTACGTATAGATGAATGTTTGTGTGTGAAGTTTAAATGTTTATGTCTGAGAGGGAGAGCGCAGCGCCTGCAGGGGGCCAGCCCGGGACCCAGGTGCGCAGGTCCACCAGGGATGGATGAGAAATGAGGAGGAAGAGGAGGGGAGGTGGGTGACGGGGGAATTGATGGAGCTGGCAGAGATGCCCGGGATTAAGGAGGAGGCATGTTGGCACATGAGCCGTGGAGATGCTAGAATTCCTCTCCATCCTGGTGCTCAGTTTGTCCCGAGTCGCTGCATTGTGCCACCAGCAGCTCGGAGACTGCTCTATTTAGGAGGCATTATTGAAGCTAATGTGGGAGAAATGAGCCCGGTGACCGCAGAGTCCAAGTTGGCACAAGGAGAGACATGGAGCTGGGGCGGACAGGGACCTGGAGGAGGAGAAAGAGCTGATAGAAGCTCATCGTGTCCTTGGATCTGGATCATCAGCTTCAGAGGGACGGTGGTGAGGTCACCTGAGGGGTCACCAGCGGCGTGGCAGCTGCATATCCACTAATGTGCTTCCTCCCCTGTGGGGTCAGGGGATGAATACCTGGCACTACCCCAGACCACGGTGTGGCTTTGTCAGCATGAGAGTCACAGGCACCATAAGGGGAGGGGCCAATAGATACCCCAGAATTGAGCTGCACCCCTCTTTGGCTAGGCATGATAAAAACGTGGTAATGTTTCTTTCTGCTCATTTATCATTTGTAATTCAATGAAAGTGCAAATGCCATGAAAATATGACATCATTTAATTTAATCTAATCCAACCCTATAATTTTAACAGAGAGGCTGTATCAAGATTTACTTTCTAATGTTTTTTTTTAAATCTTTTAATTTCTGGTAAATCAGGTTTAGTGACCATTAGGGTTCGTTTCACATCTGCTGATGAAAGAAATCCAGAAATGGTGTTGTACACACAAAAATACAAATTAAAGTCACGTAATTTATCTAAAAACATACATTTCATTTATAAAACATACATATTTCATTTCTAAACTATGTGCTAAATACATTTTGACTTCAGCAGACCTGAACTACACCCATAAAGAGTAGGCGTTTAAGTCTAGTCCCTGCAATCTTCAGTATGAGCTACAAAAATAATGAAATAAAATACAAATATTGCACAAATTATAGGGATTATCACTTTGTTAATAATGTTAAACCTACAATACCATTAACAGAGATTGAATTGCTACAATTTTTGCCTCAGATGAAGAAAAACGGCATGAATGAAAAGAAAACGACCTTTCTCTCCTGATGTGGATGCTAAAGGGTTCATTCTCTGACAGTTCAGATGCATCCGTCTCACTCCTGGATTGCCAGATCCTCCTTTGGTGTCTCAGGTTTAGAGGCGGTACTCTCTCTCCTCTCGAAGTCATCCCACATTCATCAGAAAGTAGATGGCCGGGCCTTCCAGAATCCTGTGGCAGATGGCAGTGCAACGGTGATTTTTCACCTTTTGAACAGATTCAAACTTCCTGCTAAATAACAGCGACGCCCTGGGACTCGAATGATTCAGAGAATTGCAGTTTTAGGTGTTTTTTGTGTGAGATTGAGGTTATGTCTCCGTCCCTTCTCTGTGTGCTGTGAGTAAACTCCAGTGTTTATGTAACTTTTAATGTCTTCAGCCACAAACCTCATTCATTTTCCTCTTTATCTTCTCTTTCCTCACCAGAGTGTCGCTGAAACTCAGAATTCTCATTTTTTAAATCTCTAATCAATCAAAGTATAGGCCATGTTCACAAAACTGGCCCAACGTCAGATCTGATTCTGTATGACACCCTCAGTAGCTCATGTCCAGCATTTTAAAATCCGGCAGAAGTCACAGTCGTTTGTGGTCCTCCACTGAAGACGCAGCTGATCCTTTTAAGGTGGCGCTGAATGTTCACCCTGCTTTTCATCCATCATCGTGGGCACCCTGTCTCAGCTGCTCCGTAAGGAGGAGGAGAAAGCTGTGTTCCAGAGAAAAATGCATCTGATCCTCTGCCACCATCGGCTCAACCTGCTAAAATAAATGCTAAATGCCAACAATCAGAAGGACTTCATGGATTTATGTGTCTTAAGTAGCTGGATCAGTCTGAGCCAGGACCACCTGCTGTGCTTCACACACTCCACCCTCTTTCCCTTTAAGACCTCTCACATCGCCATCTCTCCTCTTCCTCTCTGGTAAAATGACACCTCCTTCAAAGTCATCAAGCCACACACCCCCCCCCCCCCCCCTCACTGTCAGACACATGAGGTGATGACCTGCTCTTCACTTGTCTTTCTGTAAGAGGTGTAAACTTCTGCCTGACACACACACACACACACACGCACGCACGCACGCACGCACGCACACACACACACACACACACACACACACACACACACACACACACACACACACACACACACACACACACACACACACGCACACGCACACGCACACACCAGAATCCTGGACCCCATCTGCACTCCCCTCTCTCCAGCCCTCTAATTGCACATGCACAAATGCAAATGCCTATTAATTAATTACTTGACTAATTAGTGCAGTGGTATTTTAGGGCAATAAATCAAGTGGAGATGGGACCGAGGACGTAGGGGCAGAAGGAGGGCGCTGCTCCGCCAGAGGGAGCGCTCCAAGTCTGGTGAGGTTCTGAGAGAGCCGGCTGAAAAACTGATCAAGGAGGAGAAACCATGGCTGAGGAGCGACCTTTGCTGCTCCAATGGGGCTACTTTCTGGCACGGGTCCAAACCTGTGTGTGTGTGTGTGTGTGTGTGTGTGCGTGCGTGCGTGCGTGCGTGCGTGTGTGTGTGTGTGTGTGTGTGCTCCACCCATTTCTACCCAAAAAGAAACATCCCAGGCTCCATCCTCAGATTCATCCTCTAAACCTCTGTGAGCAGAAGCATGGACACTGATGCTGATGTGATGATTGTGGTGTTTGCAATCGAGAGGCGAGCAGTTTTGGCAGCCCTTGTTTCTCTTAGTGTTTTGTAGAAAACAAAGAAGGAAAATATGTTTTAATTGTACCATTTAAAGTGAAATAAAAAGAGGAAAGAAAAGAAATGTTTATGATTTGCCAAAATTTAAATAAGTTAGTAACAAGTATGGCGGAACTGTGTGTGGCGGTGTTTCCATCGGGACTATAAAAAGCGATACACCAACCAACACTTAGCATTAGTAGGCCAGGAACAAACATGTGTCTGTGTGAAGCACTATTCTGCTTATGTGGTAAGCCTGTGTGCAGGAAGGCAGCCGGTGGAGACTTTAATGCTGGAGTTGTTCTTCTGGTTGGCCGTGGATTAGCCGGCGGTCTGCAAGCATGCTGACGCGGCGTTAGTTTGACATCTAAAGTCTGATTTATGAAGCATTTTACCTTTAGGCCTCTTGTTGGTAGCTTTGAGACTTTGTCATTTCTATTTTTTGTAAGATGTTAAATTGAGTTAAGTTTGAAATCAAGCATTGATAAATTAAAAGCTAACACATAACATATTTATATTTGCACTGCATAAATGAGAAAATTATTATATTTATTCAGTTCTGTTTGGTTAGTGAGACAGTAAAGTAGTTGAATCAAGAAACGTATTTCTCTGACATAGATTGTAAAATGCACCATTTCTTTTGATCTCAGTGAAGTATTTTTGTGATTTGAGTCGTTTAATTGTCAACTGAGTAAAATTGATTTATATTATTTAGTAGAATGAGCCTATTTACTACGGTCTGATTGTGTGTTTGTGTGTGTTTGTATTTATATTCTTTGTTTGAAGTGTTTCAAGGTTTCTACCTGTCTGAGACCATCCACATCCTAAAGCCTTCTACGAGACAACAACATAAATCGAAGACTAAAAGGAGAAAACGGTGTGGCCCTTGAGTAAAGCTCAGTGGTTTAAAGACCCTTCCTTCCCTTTGAAGTGGAGATTCCACACACATTAAGGCAAAACTTGACACTTAGTGTGTGTGTGTGTGTGTGTGTGTGTGTGTGTGTGTGTGTGTGTGTGTGTGTGTGTGTGTGTGCCTGTAGGTGTGCCAGGCCCCCTACCACAGGCACCCGAGGACATCTCAGGACTGAAATATTCATTCTGGTCTTCTTGCCCAGACAGTGTGGTCCTAATTGCAGCATCAGAAAGCTCCGCCTCTTTCTCACGTCTGGTTTGTCGGCAGCAGACCTCATCTGGGAATTGGATGCTTAGTGTGTGTGTGTGTGTGTCTTGTTAGGAGGCTGGTAAGTGTGCTGGCTGCTCCTTTTCACACAAACATGCCAGTTTAAGTTTAATGTCTTAGAATGTTTGGTTTAATTTGATGTTTGTAATGTTTAGTTGTGCTTCAGCCGCGTTCTCCCAGTCTGAGTCGGGCTGACTGTTGATCTCTCAGTCAGCTGTCATTCTGTCCACAGGGTGAGTGTTTCATCAGTTCCCGTGCCAACCCGAGCCCTCGCCTGGCCAAGCTCTGCCATCTTGTGGGATTTTTGGCTTTTAATTATAGTAAGAGAGGATTAATTATGGCAGTGGAAACAAGGGGCCATGCATTATTGATGCTATGAGTGAAGGGCTGGAGGGGGTAGAGGGTGCTAATTAAATCATTGCCCTACTGCCATGTCCTCCTCAATGTCTGCTTTCACCATGTCCTCCACCTGCTTCATCTTCTGCTCCATATGTCTGTTGCATCATACGAGCAGACAGACAGACGGACAGACATTTGTTCATCATCACTTGACGGTGAGGAAAGTAAAGTTTGCTTCTGTCACTGTGATGTTTTTAAAGTAAAATCTGACAAGAGTCTGCCATCTGCTGGTGGTCATCAGTAACTGTCACATTTACAATCCAACACCGGTGTTAAGAGTTTTAATAGTAACTCAGAGCATCAACTCCACAAGAGTTGATAATTTAACACTAAATCAGAGTTAAAGCACCAACTCTCCAAAAAGAGTTACACTAACCCTTACTGCTGTGGACCCATGTAGACACTTTAAAAGTGTTGAAATCAGCTCTGACAGTTTTAAGCATGTTTTATTTGCTGTGTACTGTTAAATATTCAGGGTCAATTTTACACACATTAGAGTTCGATTCAGCTATCAAACGACTTAGCGTGGATTTCATGCCTAAAATGTAATGAAAATATTTAAATTAGAAAATGTATCAAATAATTCTATATTTGGATCATGCAGTATCTTACAAGATATCCTATTAATTTATGTATTTATTAGGTTTTAATTCTATTAGTTCTTCCGTCAGGCTACAGGGATTAGGTAGGCTTTAACGTATTCAGCCTTTCAGTATAGGCCTACAGCAAAGTAGAAAGAGTTTGTCCTGATAAAATAATCCCCAAACAGCTGTCAAAACTGACCAAAACCAATAAATTCTATTCTGTCACTAATTGATTAATTATATATATACATATATGTATATATATATACATATATATATATATATATATATATATATATATATATATATATATATATATATATATTCATCAAAATGGAAAATATTGTTTTTAGAATATTTATTAGCATAGGCGTCATTTTAACCGGGGACGCCGGGGACATGTCCCCGGCAAAATTTGTGAGTGGCAGCTGTGTCCCCCCCACTTTAAAAAAAATCCTGCTGATGAGGATTTTTGTTTTACCAGCTCAGATCTTATACCAGGGGTCGGCAACCTGTTCCCATCAAAGGGCCATTATTACCCGTTTCCCACAGTAAAGAAAACACTGGGAGCCACAGCGGCCGCAGCGTTGTGGGCGGGGCCTACCCTCAGACAGCAGAGAGCTGCTCACAACCAGGTGACAGCAGCCGGTACCGGTCGCTCGCATGGGCGTCGCACCCGTGGGGGATTCAACACCCACACTTTTCCTTCTGTTTTGCTCACCTCCACACCAGTCTGGTTTCTTTATGTCGCACTCACTCTGTTTGCCTCATCTCCTTCTTCACCTCCACTTCTGACAACCGATGTCGGGTTTCCAGGAGAGGGAGGGACGGAAGAGCTCGACTGAATTCATAATTTTACATCTTGACATTAGCTGTACAAAGTCTGAGTTTGATAAAGTGAAGAACAACAATTTGCAGAGGTTTATAACAGGCGCGGCGCCAGGTTTTCATTTTTGGGTGGGCCACGGTAATTTTGGACGAACCTTAATAAGCAGTGACTTAGTGAAGCAGGCAGGTCGCGCTGGAAAATTTAGTTTAAAAAGATGTCATAAATGTGTTCCCCGTCATTTTTATTTATAAAATATGAAGTAAAAACTCCGAATTTAATTTTCATTCATTTTTCATTAATATGTAGTCTACACCCGCGCGTTAAGTGGACCATCTTCCAGTAAAAGCAAAGCTTCCAGCCCATCTCTCCAAATGCGTAAAATGTGCATCAGCCGCTAGTTAGGCGCGTCGCGCGCCATCAGCGACGTCATCCCAGACAAGAGCAGAGCAAACAGAAAGAATAGAGGATAATTGTGTCTGGATGTGGATGGAGATTACATTTTACATCAGCCTGATCATCATTTAAATATGTAAACCATCACCTGTCTTCTAGTCCACGCTATCAGCATTATTTTAATTGGTGTGTGTGTGTGTGTGTGTGTGTGTGTGTGTGCGTGTGTGTGTGTGTGTGTGTTTTTTCCGCTTCAAACACTGGTCTAACCAACCAGACCAGTGTGTCCAGTAACATATTAATGTTACACCTCATGTAGACTAGGAACGTTTCACCTGCCGTGGTCCGACCGCTTCTGCTCCACATAAACTTTGTGCGTGATCAAATGTCTCTACAGGAGCTTTCTGAGCTGAAGAGGCGATTCTGCCTCAGACTGGATGCGTCATGCGTCTCCATATTAGAGACGGGAACAAGCGCTGTTCAGCCAAAAATTCATAATTTCATAAAAAGAACATTTTTCCAAGTGACACATCCGTCAGAGAGACCGGGTTTCCAGACCGCTTCAGTGGGAGGAAATCATTGCATGCACCGTGGTTCTGCGCTGCGCTGCGAACCCCTCTACAGATCTTCAGCCCACTGTCCACCGTGGGCGCTCCGAGCCGCGCTGAAAACAGTGTCCAGTATAAAGCTCTGATGTTCTGATGGGAATCAAGTTACCTCCGCGATGTGCGTTAACGATTAAAATGTCAGCTCATCCATGCGCATCAGTGTGCGTCGGGGTATATGGTGTCAGGTTTCCGCCAAAACCCGTGCAAGCGTAGCCAAAACCCGTGCACGCGTATTGTGCACATCGCGCGTGCGAACGGGACTCGCGCGTGGAGGTTAGAACCTCATGAGTGAAAATATACATGGCGAGGAGGTCATTTGTACACTGAGAGGGAGCAAACTGTGTCTGTGAGTGCACAAGGATGTGCACAAGTGACAAACCTGCGTGCGCTCGTTGGCCAACGAGCACACGGCAGAGGAAAACATGCGCGCGGCAGCCTCACTGCGCGCTCGGTGCGGCAGCCTCACTGCACGTGTGGCAGCCTTTCTGTGCGCTCGGTTTCTGATTCTGCTCGCTCGGCTGTTGGGAGTTTTGGCACTCTGGAGGCGTGGAAGAATTAAAGTGCCAGAAACTGAGCAGTTGAACTTTCAATTTGAGAGCAGAATTTCATATCAAGAGACCATCTTTTTAATTTCAGAATACTATTTTATATTATTGCTCTCAAAACTTGTAATGCTTGCGCTCAAAATGTCTGCTCTCTTTCAAATTCACTCTGTTCTCCTTCAAATCTTTGTTTTTGCGCTCAGATTTAACCTTCTTACACTGGTATTGTCTTCTCATGTGACAACTTTTTCTCTACACGGATCAAAACTCCTCCCACAAGTCTGTCCCCTGCTCTCACGGATCTTGTCTGCTCTCGCTCAAAACTTAGAAGTACAATCTCCTAGCAACCGCTCAGCCAATAGAAAGACTTGTGGGACTGGGCGGGAACAAACCTCTTTGGGGTGCGCTCGTTTTGATGCTCTGTGGATTTTCCTGTGTGGCTGCCGCATCTGCGCACTAACAGCCTGGCTAATACCCGCTCTGATCTGGAGCGAGAGTTTCACCTGCACCAGCAAAATGGACCAGAACCAACAAGACGCTCAAGTAAGTTATTTTTCAAGGCTACTAGCTGCAGTTTATTCCATAAAATTGTTTTGTTATGCTACTTTTTACGACTCCTCGCATTTAATATTGCAACAGGGGCACATAGCTAGGTGGATTAGGTTATTCACTATAGCTACAACTTTCATAAAATGGCCTCAGCAGATTTGAGTTTTACCCTAACATATCACTCGTCCCCAATGCTAGCTCTGGACCTAGTGTAGATGTTTTTTGTTTAGTATTCCCACCTTTGTTTTTAATAGTTAGCTCTTTGGACATTACAGTAGTTATTCGTTAGCGTTTACTCCATGAACATTGTTTCCTCATCTAACTGCTAACTATCAAAATGTGTTTCATCCATCGACATAAATATATCCCAATGTTTTTCTCGCGCTGTAATGAACAAGATGGGTCATCAAAGTAAGAGAATGTTATTAAAAAGTGGAACTCGTTATAATTGAACGATGGAAAATTTTGACCAAAGCCGTAGGAGAAAACCGTTTTTGATAGGGAAACACATTTTGACACAACACCTGCCCTGACTGGCGCGTCAGCTAGCTTTCAATCGGTTGGTAGGTTTCTGAAAATATTAATGCTATGTTAAGTGAGTGTAATCCAGTAGTAATTTCCCCAACAAAATAACAATTTCTATTTTTGCTCAATTCCTGCCTCCTTCCATTTCATTTTGCACTTGCATTATTTCTTTTTGTAATCCTGTCAAACCTAGCCGCTGGTCTTTAAACATAATGAGCCTAACTTACTAATACTGAGTCTGGGGTTACATAAGCAGTAACAAAACAAAAACAGTTTCTGTTTCTAAGTCTCAGCAATGAGCAAGGTTGTATTTCTGGTGTAAGCGAACTAACATTTGTTTTCTGTGAAATGCGCGAAATGTTGTATTACACAGTCTGTGGTACCATGATGCAGCACAATTCACTGTTGCATGTTAAACCACAGAAGATGTAGATGAAAATGAATGTAATGGCTGAGGTGGAGGACCTGTAATGACACCAGAAAATAAGAAAATGTGTAAAAGCTTTAGTAAAAGTTTAGTCCTGAAATTCTCATGGTAATCCAGGGAAGCAGGTTGGTGCATGGTCAGGGAACAGGCGTGGGTCAGGGCCAGATAAACAGCAGGTTCCATCCCAGCTCCAACCAGAGAGTGCTGCTGTTGTGTCCTTGGGCAAGACACTTAACCAACTTTGCCTGCTGTTGGTGGTCGGAGGGACCGGTGGTGCCAGTGTTCAGCAGGCCCGCCTCTGTCAGTGTGCCCCAGGGCAGCTGTAGCTACTATCTGGCTTATCACCACTGTAAGCATGTGAAAAGGGTGTGGCTGTTGTGTAAAGTGCTTTGTAGGCCTTGGACTTGATAAATTTCAATAAATGTGCAAGCCAATTACAATTTTTTTCAATTTGTAGGTGTTTCCCATTTGCTGTATAACCAAATACAACTTTTTCTGTGTTTTTTGTTTTATTTCTTTAGACTGGTTCCATCCGAGAAGTTACGAGAAACCTTATGGATTTACTGAATGCTCATCTACAAGCAGAGGGCCCGCAACAAACACCAACTGTGCCACAGCGCACAACACCAGCGACAACACCTTAACAGACTATCCCTCGGTCTACAGTTCATCAAGAAATGTCAAGGTAAGTTAAGTGTAGAAATGTAAATATTTGACATCTGTATTGGTCTATTCAGTGGTTTGAAATTAAATTATTCCAATGATGCTTTATTATTCATCTTAGAAAGAGGCTTTCTGCAATTGACTGTATTTTTTTTTTTACATAGTGAAATTAAATTCTGAAATAATGTAAGCAGTGTAGTATAGGCTACAGCTAGGGCTGGGCAATATATAGATATTTTAAAATTATGAATATAATTTTAAACGAGAAACAAGATGACTTTGTATTGATATAACTAGTCAAGCCACATAAGCTAGCAACTAGCTTGCTCCGTCTGTAAGCGGTCATTTCATGTATTCTCACAAATCTGCTCAATCAGAAAACCTCTGGGTAAATGTTCTGCCCTAAACTTTGCATTTGGCTTCATGGTTTTTAATTATTTGGGGATATTCGTTCATGTTTCATCAAGCCTGTTCACCGTGGTTACCAACGGAGTTCTGTTTACCCCTCCCTCCCTCGTGTAATTGGGAAACCACTACAGAGAGCCGGAGTGGCCAAATTACCTCAAACATGTTGTAATGGCTTCAGCTGTAAACGTTAGGGTTAACATTTAATTTTGAAGGTGAGTTCAGCGCTAAAAGTTTTTCTGGTTCCGGTTTTTGATGCTTTGCTATGGTCGGGGCTCAGCCACGTGAGTTCGGAATAGAACGGGTGGTTTCTTGTTCACATGTGATTCCCAGGGCTTCTCAGGAATGCGGAAATCCCCGAGCATGTGGGCGGCGGTAAAGACGCGCGGAAGAAGTCTGCGTTGTCCGCCTATGCTAAACAATAATTCCTCATCAAACCGCTGCACCAGCACACACTGCGCTTCTCTAATAATCTGCTCTCCTCTAATCCTTCCTACTTCAGCGCTGTAGTGTCCTCCGCTGCAGACGTGTCCTTATAACCGCTGCTACACACACACACTGCTGTCCTCCTCTGCTGCGGAGCGGGTGACAGCAGCTCAGTGCTTCATGTGGGCTAAACAGCAACCAGGATGAAAAGTAATCGCATATGCGGAAACCCCCCGGTGTTTGATCCAACTCCCCAATAGGAGGCGGTAGGTGTGAGTTTCAGCTGCCAATCAGTCCATAGTGTCTGCTCGGCACCAGCCGGACCTCCGAGGGAAGTAGTCTGAAAAAAAAGTCTCCTTAGAACGAAATACACACATGTGAGCCATATGTGAACAAAACATTTGGTTCCGAACGCATCCATGCCGACCCAGATGTGAAAGCGGCTTAAGTGAGGGAAAATACTAACATGGGATGACTGTGAGAATAAGGAGTAAAATAGTTTAGTTTTAAAAATAGTTTCCAGCTCAAAACAGGAGACTTGACAGGTGTGATCCTGGAATTGTGGATGAAGTCTGTCAGTGAAGCTCTTGGGATCACAGCTCCACCTCTCAGTTCAGACTCCACAGAGCTCCTAGTGTGTGAGTTCTTGTTCTCTTCTGTACTTTTAACGTTAACGCAGGAGAGTGTTTGCTGTTGTATTTCAGTTATAATGTGAACAACCACACAAAACATTAAATTTACTCAAAAATTCTGAATGGATTTTTAAGACCTGCCGTGTGAACGTAGCCTTAAGCCTGATTCATGCTTCTCCGTCTGCGTCAGTGCGGAGACACGCAACGTCCTTGCGTGCCTGCCGGAGAGCTCCGCAAGGACGGACGGAGTCAAGCTCTCTTTTCTAAACAGCCGTCAGTCGAGACAGACAACGCAAGCTTGTGATTGGTCAGGATGCCGCTGTTGTTTACAGCGCCGCCATTGCACCCTCAAAAACATAAAGAGAGCCGAGGATAACAAGCGGCAGACACGGAGCAGCTTGAAGAATACCTCGCGAAAAAACTCTAAAAACATGAACTTTTAGTTCCCCCGTGACTGGAGGAGAGAGAAGATGCGCAGCAAGCGTTTTATTTGTGGACGGAAATGACAGGAAACGTGGGTTTAGAGGTGGCGAGCGCATGAAGAGGTGGAGGAGAATGAGAGACAAATATGTCCGTGTTAAAAGTCTCTTATATACACAAAAAATACAATATAAACACATTATCTTGGACCAATACATGACAGGATACCACAGAACAGCGCTACGCCCTCTGTTGTCCTGCCGAGGAATTGCTTTGCAACACTCTCCAGGAGACGGAGAAGTATGAGAGCAAAACACTTCCGTCAATCCGTGCGTGTCTGTCCCTTGCGGAGCTGACGGAGAAGCATGAATCAGGCTTTAGACAGCATGTTTCTCTGTACATAAGCCGTACCATAGACATCATTGGCTGCTGGAGAGTAACTGCTTCACCGCCATATTGAGTAGGTTTCTAACTCCAAAACCCAATTTGAATCCAGTCATTGGAGCAACTATGCCTGTTTTTGTGCAGCTCACAGTTCCAACAACCAGCAGTTACATCTGCCTGTAAGCTTTGTTTGTTAATAAAGTTATATAAAAATAAAAAAAAAACTGTTACGTCACGATCTCCTTGCTTTCTACAGGAAGTTTAAAAAATTATTTCAATAAAGATTGAAACACAAACATGAAGCTAAATGAGGAGCTCTATGAACATACTGAACGCCGCTTTAAAAGATACTGAATGTGAAATATGGCATTTCTCTACTGCTGACTGATGAAAGGGAGTCCGATGTGCCTGTTGTCATTTTGCAGGAGGTTGAACGATCTGACAAGGTAGTTAGCCCGTAAAAAAATTGTGCTGCAACACTCCCAGGGCTTTTTTTGGTGGCCTTTACGGCTATTCATTGGCAGGCTCATCACGGAACACAAAAATGTAGCTTGTTTGTTATGATTTAGGTACGTACTGCCCCCTAGTGGCAGAAAACTACAGACTGTCGCTTAAAGAAATAGCATAAAATGGCCAGAGATGCAATTCAATATATATTCTCTTCTACGGTTTTAAAATTTTGAAATAATTATCTATCGATCGATTAGATTTTTTTAAATTAATATGCTTTTATTCATCAACCAGCCCTAAAACCTACTAAAGGTTAAACATTTTAAATTGCAAACTGTACTTAATTACGGTGATGCAAGTAAATGACAATTACACCCCTGCAAAATAGTAAAAGTTCTAAATCAAAACCATTTTGAATTTTTGTTATTCTTGTCCCTGCTATTTGTAATTTTTTTTTTATCTAATTTTGACATATAGTAATCCTGCACAACAATGTGATAATTTGGTTTCTATTAAAATTTAGGAAATTTTGATTATTTGTTGACAAATTGCAGCTCAATATAGAAACATCATCATTGTTCTCTTGTTGTAATGTCAGGATTTCCAAGAGCCAGACATCGACTGGGATGTTGCTGCAGAGTACAGCCCAGATGTGGACGGTGCTGCTGTGGTCCCGGAGTTCGACAGTCCCCTCACTGAAGAGCAGCATGCTGAACTGCATCCATGCTTTCGTTCTTTTTTAAACACAAACAGTTTTGTTTACCTGTTAGTAGCTACAGTTTCGCCGACGGCTGCCGGCTTCTTCAGGCTGACGCTGTTGGTGGCGCGTCACTTCCTTCTCCGTTTATCTGCGGGCAGCAGAGACAACTGCCCGCAGATAAACGGAGAAGGAAGTGACGCGCCACCAACAGCGTCAGCCTGAAGAAGCCGGCAGCCGTCGGCGAAACTGTAGCTACTAACAGGTAAACAAAACTGTTTCTGTGTTTAAAAAAGAACGAAAGCATGGATTTAGAAAGACACAGCAAGAACACACCTAAGATGCTGAACTGCAGTTGCTACTGGCACAAAATTGGGAGCGTTCAAACACTAAGGAACTTTATCTATTGTGCAGAGAATATGTTAATGCTGCTTTGTCAGATTAATGTGTACTTGAAATAAAAAATCAAGAGATCAGTTCCAGTGCTTTTATTAATGTTACAAAAGAAATACATAACATGTATTTGAAATGGCAATAAGCCTAACTTTATGGATTCATGTAACAATGTCGCTTTCTAGCTCCAAAACATTACATTATTTAACAAAACCATTTGTATTTTTGGAATCAAAGTTAAATATGAACCATTATACAGTAACCTGAACCCAGAACAGTGGCCATCTTGTTTTCACTTAATGTCTGCTAAAATCAAATCTATCACAGACTGCCTGAGTAAGCTGACTTTCAAAGTCAGTGTATGTAGTAACGTGCCATGTAGGTAAGGTGATTAAGTGTGGTCCATACCGGGTGGTACTGTCGTGATCAACATTTAGTTATTTTGTAAAATTCTCTTTCTGTGTCTGTTAGTGGCACATGTGCCTGGCCTGAAACCCACTGAAAAAAATCCTTGCACTGACAACTGCTTTGCTCCACAGCCATCTGATGGGCTCCCATCTTGGTCATCTGTTCCTGAAGGGTGAAAAAAAAATCAGTGTGTCACTAACATGATTGAGGTACTGATTACCTCTCTGTAATTAAGGTGTAATGGCTAAATCAGTTTCAAAACAAATATATTTATAATTTATTTTTAAATTTTTTTTATTTGATGGGGGATTGGGTGAAACACAATGGTCTCTCTGACACTTCAAAATTTTCTCAATCAATCAATTTTTATTTATGTAACACCTTCCACTGCCTTTGCAGGAGCCCAAGGCACTGAACATAACAATTTTAAAAAGAGCTAAGCATTATGAGCAGTAAAAGTGGAATAATCCTGCATGGTTCTGTGGCTACCTCCTTCTTCCAGGTTTTGCAAGAGGTCCTGCAAAAAGTTGATCATGTCCACTTCCTTTGTGTCTTACTGATCCATTGTCACTGTACTGAGGAGCCAGTGCCTCCACAACGAAGTCTGCATCCACCTACAAAAGACGTTTTTAAAAATACTGTGAATTAAAAAGATAAAACTGTTAGGGCTGCTTCTGCTTATCCTGCAGAGCTAAATTAATATAAGAAAATGAAGATGGATACCACTAAAAAATATGTAAAACTTCATTGCCATGATATTAGAATAAAAAATACATCTGATAGCTTCCTTAAAGAAAACTTAAAATTGCTGTCTGTAAAAAAAATGATAGCTGTAAAAAAATAAATTGGGGCAAACATTGTTAAACAAACAGATTATTGTACTTGTGAATCGATTTGATTCTTAGTATTTTTATAAGAATCGGTTAGAACTGTTGATGGAACAAAAACAGCTTCAGCTTCTCTGCATTTCCTATATGTTTTTGTAATGGACATATTTTTTTTGCAGAGGCCTAAAGAATTTGTACTTACCTGTTTAAGGTTCCCAGGAAGAAAGAGGGGCTGAAGTGCCTGGTGGTGTTGTGGCAACAGCTCATCCAAACCCTAGATGGCCAGTCCTTCTCTAAGCTGACTTAGCATCGGTATGAGTCTCATCACCGAATGCAAACTGATGGCCCTAGTAAAAAGAATAATGAACTTGTAATAACTCAATTTTCAAAAATTGCATGACTTGTTTAATGCTACATTAACATACTCAATGATGGCCTTTTTGCAATTGCTGTGAATTGACCAGTGTAGCCACATGCTACAATGGCATCAGAAAGGTCTGTCAGTGCGTCTTCTTCGGCACGTTCGACCTTCAATCAGAAACACTTGTTAGTACAATTTACAGAAAATAAATTATTCTGTTTAATTTACCTCCTGAATCAGGTTCTGGATTGCCGTATCAGTCACCTCTGGCACATCTTCATTTGTTATTTGTCCATGACGCAAGAAATGGTAAGACCAAGTAGAAAAGAAATTCGGTGCTGGTCCTGCTTGAACCAAGCTGGTGGCAATGATCTCCCCACAGATCCTGAACACAAAACAAGCCAAGTTACACTGCAGAGCAGCATCATACTGTACATACCTGTAGTTGTTTTCCTGGTAGTAAGAGATACTATATTTGGGGTTTTGCCTTTGCATGAAACTCCTTCAAATAAGTTCAACTCAAGGCCTCGCATCATTTCTATTGGGAAAAAAGAAATGACAGTTTGCCATTTTCAACTATATTCAAAGTTGGTATGTTGACATTAGCAAGGAATACATACCAGTTAGGAACTCTCGGCGTAGTGCTCCTTCATCAATGTCGTGTTCTCCAATAAAGGAAACAATTAGCTGGTTTTTGTGGGAAGCCTGCTTCTGTCTGGCCCGCTGTTTCAGACCTCTCTGGTAAAGGTCGTCCCTTGTCACATTAATGTTAAAGGTTTTAGTGTTGTCAACTCTTTCTTGTAGGAACTTCAGGATGTCTGATAAGCTATTGACAACAACATTGTGTTTATTATTATTTATTTTAAAACCTACACATTAACACAAATATTTGTAAAAATTCTAACCAGATTAAGTGCTTAGAAGAGTCATCCACATCCAGTATGATGCTGTTCAGATGTGGAAACAAACAAAAAAAAAAAGATTAAACTCTCATAACATATTGTGTACAACGTGCATGGGTAAAAACATGCACCTGTCCTCTTCCTCCTTCACCACAAAAGCTGGCATGACTCCTGAGTAAATTCTTATCACACAATGGACAGGAAACCTATTAAAGACATTTTTTTAAATCAGTGACCAACAATCATTGTTAAGTAAACAATAATGATTAACATGAAATGTAATTAAAATATTCTGTATATTGCTAACGTGCATGTTTGAAGTTTGATTTAAAGGGATATTCCACCCTATGTGAAAATTTGTCTACTGTCTAAATTGGCTCCTGCAAATGTGTTACTTCTTACTTTTCATTTGCAGTCAACATGATTATTGAGCTCAACAGGAATAACTGGTATCATAATTTAGTAATTTTACAGTTTTGCACACAAAATGCTACTACCTCCCATTAAGTTACATGGTTTATTCTCATCTAAAGCAGACAGACTGCTGGCAGATAAGAATTACTGCGCTGGTTAAAACAATCCTTTTTCATTCACTTATCCAACTCTGGGGAATACGGCACTAGAAAACATTTTTGGATCTTTCCCTGACACATATCTAGCCCCTCATAACTCGATCCCCAGTTCCTGGATAAAACACCGGACATTTTATTCCATGTAGGACCCTAATCCACCTAGCTATGTGCCCCTGTTGCAATATTAAATGCGAGGAGTCGTAAAAAGTAGCATAACAAAACAATTTTATGGAATAAACTGCAGCTAGTAGCCTTGAAAAATAACTTACTTGAGCGTCTTGTTGGTTCTGGTCCATTTTGCTGGTGCAGGTGAAACTCTCGCTCCAGATCAGAGCGGGTATTAGCCAGGCTGTTAGTGCGCAGATGCGGCAGCCACACAGGAAAATCCACAGAGCGCAAAACGAGCGCACCCCAAAGAGGTTTGTTCCCGCCCAGTCCCACAAGTCTTTCTATTGGCTGAGCGGTTGCTAGGAGATTGTACTTCTAAGTTTTGAGCGAGAGCAGACAAGATCCGTGAGAGCAGGGGACAGACTTGTGGGAGGAGTTTTGATCCGTGCAGAGAAAAAGCTGTCACATGAGAAGACAATACCAGTGTAAGAAGGTTAAATCTGAGCGCAAAAACAAAGATTTGAAGGAGAACAGAGTGAATTTGAAAGAGAGCAGACATTTTGAGCGCAAGCATTACAAGTTTTGAGAGCAATAATATAAAATAGTATTCTGAAATTAAAAAGATGGTCTCTTGATATGAAATTCTGCTCTCAAATTGAAAGTTCAACTGCTCAGTTTCTGGCACTTTAATTCTTCCACGCCTCCAGAGTGCCAAAACTCCCAACAGCCGAGCGAGCAGAATCAGAAACCGAGCGCGCAGAAAGGCTGCCACACGTGCAGTGAGGCTGCCGCACCGAGCGCGCAGTGAGGCTGCCGCGCGCATGTTTTCCTCTGCCGTGTGCTCGTTGGCCAACGAGCGCACGCAGGTTTGTCACTTGTGCACATCCTTGTGCGCTCACAGACACAGTTTGCTCCCTCTCAGTGTACAAATGACCTCCTCGCCATGTATATTTTCACTCATGAGGTTCTAACCTCCACGCGCGAGTCCCGTTCGCACGAGCGATGTGCACAATACGCGTGCACGGGTTTTGGCTACGCTTGCACGGGTTTTGGCGGAAACCTGACACCATAGGGGTAATTCTTTCAAAACAACCAACATCCTTGAGTTTATCCGTCAATATGTGGCAAAGTGGAGAAACGAGGGCCCGGGCGGGATTCGATCCCCAGACTCCCGGGTGAGAGTCATACGCTCTAACCAGTCAGCCAAAGAGACATCCCCTTGGCCAAGTAGCCAGGGCGCATGATCTATCGGGACACTGTGACAGGACACTCACACTGCCACACCTGATTATGAAACTTTGGCTGAGTAGCGCTTGTTCCTGTCTCCAATGTGGCGACGCATCCAGGAACCTGTCTGAGGAGAAGCCCAGAATCTGACATCCTCCAGCTCAGGAAGCGCCTATGATTACGCACAAGCGTGACGCGTCAACCCGGTCTCACAGTAAGACCGGGTTGGACCTGTTCAGGTTTACGCAGACAATCTTTACATTTAGAATTGGCATACAGATGTAAAATTAATGCAGTAAAATATAAAGCTTTTTATTTAAATATCCATTCATTATTTTACAAGCACAGAGAGCCGCATCAGATGGATGGAAGAGCCGCATGCGGCTCCAGAGCCGCCGACCCCTGTGCTAGCCTACTTTATTGTCCCCAGCAATTTTTAAACCCCACTCAAGTGTATGGTTATTGTCCCCAGCAATTCTGAAAACAAACTGATGCCCTTGTTTATTAGTGATGCATGCAATTATTTCAGAGTAACCAAAAAATTAAATGCCAACCAAGGCCAGACTTGAGATCCGCCTCCTAAAGGAGGTGCTGCTACCGCTAGCAGCACGCATCAAATTCAAATTGCTAACACTAGCATACAAAGTCCGAGATGGTACGGCTCCCATCTACCTGAATCCTCTTGCAATGGCTTACGTCTCGGCCCGGCCGCTCCGGTCATCACAGGATCGTCGGCTAGCAGTGCCTACACCACGCTCAGGACAATCCAGACTCTTCTCATGCATCGTTCCACAAACGTGGAATGACCTTCCAAGCATTACCAGAACAGCAGCTTCCTTTTTAATTTTCAAGAAACTCCTGAAGACCCTGCTCTTCAGAGAGCATCTTCTTAACTAGCACCCTCCCTGCACCCATCGCCCCTCTCTACTGTCCACTCCTTGTTCCCTCCTCTCCATGATTGATGTCAAGTTGTTGTTGTTATTGTTGTTGTTAGCCTCAAGGGCAACATGCCAATTATCACTTGTAAGTCGCTTTGGACAAAAGCGTCTGCTAAATACATAAACATAAACATAAAGGCTACGCTCAGACGAGCTGGTCTCTCCACATCAGATGAAGACTGAAATTATTGTGAAGTATTTGATATTAAGTACTTTTTATTCAACACATCTATATTTGAAACTTGTTAGAAATATCCTCAATGTACAGTGTTTGTGTTGTAGGTCTCAGATGAGCGGACTGCTGGAAGAGGAGGGGGGGGGGGGGCTTTTAGTTTTTTTTTATGTGTATGTTTTCATTTCAAATAAAAATAAACTCACACTGGCTATTCTACTTGTTGCTTTTTTCATCTGTCTATAGTTGTGATTTCCTATCCTGTTTGAGCACTGGCTATCCAGATTTGGTTTCCTATCCGGATCAGATTGATCCTCCAACACTGTCTCAAAAGTCAGCTGGATTGTGTCATCATGGATCGCAAAAATAAATAAATGAAGGATTACTAAATCCGATTCTATTTTATCCAGATTAAGCCTTTTGAAAAACCAGATCCAGGTGTTTTAGCTGCTGTGGGAGTTCAGAGTTTGATTTTCAGGAGTTATTTTGTCCAAAGTGACACAGAGTTGATTAGGAAACACTCCTTTTTAACACTCAGTTTTACCTCTCATGTCAGTGTTACATAGCAACTATGCAACACTTTTTAGTGTTAAATTAATTATTCTTGGTGTTAAATTGGACCAACACCAGAACACGAACGCTTTTAAATCAGCTGTGTATGACGTCACTGGGGTTAGGGTAAGAGTTTAGGGTGCAGGGTAGGATTACAACAATGTCAGTCTGACGTACATGGCCTGTTAGAGTGGCATGTGCTGTGATATGTGCATGCCAATCTGACAAGGTATGCTGCTTCGACAGAACACCGGAACAGTCACATCAGGATGCCTTGTATTGCCAAAGGCTGACCAGCAGATGGCGGTAATGTACCAATAAATAAGCAGGAAGGGTCCTGTTGCAGCTGCTGGATGTGCGCTTCTGCCAGGTGTGTCTGACTGGGGTGCTTCACCTGTTGGTTGGGTGTTGTTGTGTTGGAGGTGTATGAGTGTGTCAGGTGCTCATAAACAGATTTACCACCTGATAACGCCAACACAAAGTCTTTCTGATCCACATTTATCAACGTTTGTTGGTGAATTCAATTCAATTCAAAAATACTTTATTAATCCCAGAGGGAAATTGATTGCTGTAGTAGCTCAGAATAATAATAATAATAATAATCAAGTCATCAAAGAGTTATTGTATATTACAATGGCTGTTGGCAGGAAGGATCTCCAGTAGCGGTCAGTGTTGCAGCCAAACTGAAGAAGCCTCTGACTGAAGACACTCTTCCGTTGTCGGACAGTCTTGTGAAGAGAATGCTCAGGGTTGTCCATCATTTTCTTGATTCTCTGGAGAATCCTTCTTTGCATTATCTCCTCCAGCGGTTCCAAAACTGCCGAAACTCTGGCTGAGTCCTTGAAAGGACTTGGAGTTCCTCCATCTTGTTGGCCGGTGATCTCACATTGCCCATTATGATCGATGGAAGAGATGGTTTGAATTTCCACTTTCTCCGTCTCCGTTTTGCTCCCGCTCTGCACCCATGCTTCTTGCGTTTTAGCTCATTTGGGATTTGTGGCTTCAGTTGAGGTATTATTTCAGCCTTTCCAATGTTAATCAGCTGCTCCCGATTGTAAACCAGCTTGTTGCCATGGTTACGCATCATAACAAATGCTCAAAAAGTGAAAAAAGCTAAAAAATAGCAGTAAAAATCCTCCAAGCTTCACAGCATCAGAAGCAGAAAAGTAAAGTGTCCAAAAAATACAGTTTTTCTTGAGAAACTAGAAGAAAAAATGTCCAAGAAAAGGCAAAACTTACATAAAGTCAACAGAGCTACTCCAACATGCAGCCACCCAGAGCAGCGCAGCTCTGGAAACAAATGAAACTCCTCTGCAAGACGCACCTGCATCATTACAGCGCTGACAAGAAAGGTGACATGAAAATGTTTAAAGTTCACATTCAGAATGCTTCTGGATTTATCTG